AGTATCTTTTCTATCGTACCTAGGCTGTAGAAAAGCATTCCGCAAGTGGAACTAGGCGGCATTCTAGTAGGAATTCGCAAGGTCCTCATTAGTATTAAAGTAACAGTCGTGAAACATGTTAGGGGGGGGGAGGGGGAGGATGGGAGCTGATTTCGTTCTCTCGAGGCAAGGTGGCGTGTTGGGTGAGAAAAGGTGAGGTTTGGGCAAACAACTCAGGCTAGAGCTACTTACAGGCAGTTGCGGAAGTGGCGGGGGAGATGGTCGGTGCGGGATGATCCACAGGTGAGAGAGGAGCAAGGGGCGGTTGGAGGGGGAGCGGAGAGGAGATTGGGGGAGGGAGAGGTGGGGGGGAGAGGGATGCGAGGGTGAAGAGGAGATGTGTTGACGGACACAGACTTGGTGGTAGACAATGGACAAGTGAGGTGACGAAAGGTTGCAGGACAAAGCTTCTGGGAGAAATATTGGGGCAGTTGCAGTTCTTAGCGAGACCGACGAGCCTTGCCGCATTCATTGGGATATGCAGGTGCGACCAGCGACTCTCCGCTATGGCACTGGCATGGCAATCAGCTTTCACCTGTCACGGTACGACTGCATACTGTCCATACGACGGCATCATGGCAAACAACGCAGCCTTGCACCGAAGCGGGTTGCGAATGGCTGGGAACAGCCACTACGCATTGCATTATAGTAGCTGTCAGGGCGCAAGGCGACGAGGCCATCAAGCTCCTCGTCCTCGTCCTCGTCCTCGTCCTCGTCGTCCTCGTCGTCGGACCTTCTGCATCCCATCCCGCCGCGCGCGACCTTTGAAAAAAGACCCCGCAGTGGCCAAGCACAGGCCAGCAGAACGGCCACGCATCCATGGGAACTGGCATGCAGGGCTGGCCATTCACATGACCAGCAATGCCGGGTACTGTACCTGCACACACAGTATAGCTGGTGGGCTAGTGACATGTCCACGGTTTGTACCATGTAGAGTAGGGGAATGTAGCGCTTGCTTATACAAGCACACACTCCTTGCGATCTTGAAGAATAAGAATATACTACATCCTTGATGCATTCCACCCCCCGGTGCCCCCTCAATTTCTCTCTCACTGTCTAGGACGCATTGCGAGCTGACCCCTGATCATCCATCCGTGCATGGTAGACTCTACTTCTGTACATCATCATTGAATCAAACCCCCCTGAGAACCGGTAGGCTGATATACCTTGCTCACAACCTACTCATTCATCTACATACGTACAACTCCCTCAACGCCTCTGCCAAACTCACCTCACGTCACCTCAACGCCTTAACGCCAACCCCCTTACTTCCTCGCATCAAACACCACCTTCTGCGCCTTCATCTTGTCAAAGAGATCATACCCTTCAACCGCCTCACTCAACGGCATAATCCTGTCCGCCATGAAGCTCAGCTTGTCCTGATGTCGCTTCAGACTCTCCAATGCCTCCTCGAACACACTCCTCACAGGACATCGCCCCATTTGCACTCTAATGTTCTTGCCATACGCCTCATTGCCCGTCCAGGGAATCTCCCCGTTGTGCACACCCACTGAACTGACAACACCCCATGGCCTCACGAGCTCATATCCCATTCTGAGCGCAGGTGGCAAGCCTACAACCTCAACAATGGCATCTGCGCCACGACCTTCCGTCAGCTCTTTGACGCGTGCATCAAGCCCCGCACGATCCGTCATGAAGTTCCACGGTTCCGCACCAAGAGACTTTGCGAGTTCGAGGCGCGAAGGCACCGAGTCTACGGCCAGGATATGCTTTGGTTGGTAGTCTGTGAGGTTGACCAAGGCACAGAGAGCCACTGGGCCACAGCCGATGAGTACAACGACACTTTCCTTGATCTCCTCGGGCGTCGAGTGTGTGAATGCGTTCTTGGCTGCAAACATGCCTGTGGGGAAGATGTCCGCCATGAGGACTAAAGCCTCACTCTTAATTCCCGAGGGTGCAATGACAGCGGTCGAATCAGCAAGGGGCACGCGGACATATTCTGCTTGACCGCCATCCATGGCTGTAGAGCCGAAGAGCAAGCTCTTGGTGCAACGAGACGAGTAGCCATGTTTGCAGTAGAAGCATTCGCCGCAGGAGAGGGTAAAGGGGCTGACTACCAAGTCGCCAATCTTGAAGTTTTTGATCAAAGACCCGATTTCGTGGACATGGCCAGTAAATTCGTGGCCCATGATGAAATTCGTCGGGGAGGGTTGGTGGCCGCGGAAAACATGGAGCTCACTGGTGAGAGGTGTTATTCTCATCTGGAGTGATGAGGATTGAATGATTGGCTTTACCTTCCACAGAGTGCTGTCTGTGATAGGTTAATTCAAGTTTCACATTTGACGGCCTAGAGATAGTACTTTGTCGACTTTGACGATGATGTCGGTTGGCTCTTTGATCTTTGGAATCGGTCGGTCTTCGAGGACTACCTTGCCAGGCCCCTTGAAGACGACTGCCTTCATCGTTCCGTCGCTCATAATGAACTTGGTGATCTGGTCGGAGGCAAAAAGGAGTAGAGAGTGGTCAGAGGATGAACGGAACGAAACGAAGAGACGCGAGATGGTCCTTGGGCAGTGCGTCAAGGTGATGATATAGAGGTGCCGTCTGCTGGCGTGAGCTGTCGCGCGGAGCTTCTCCGTAGTGATAGTGCCCCGCCGAGGTTCGAGCGGGGTATTTCGAGAACATTACTTTCATATAGGCCAAGTATTCGCACTCCAGGAATGCGCTAGACAGTCAAAAACAGTCTCTCATACCAAAACTCTTCTTGTTTCCGTAGAGACATCCGCGCTGTCGGTCGTGAGGAAGAGTGTGTAGCAAAGTCTTGCAAGGTTATGAGACGACAGAAGTGGCTCAGATGTAGCTGTAGCAGTGCAGCAGAAATTTCCAATATAGGAAGTTGATTGATGCGCTCAAAGAGCTCTTGGCCCAGAACCCAGAACGCTACAGCAAGCGAGTTAAAGCGCTCGCATGCCAACAGGCCTCCAGTAAGTCACAGCTAATGTAGGATCCAACCCTCAGGAACGCCTATCAGTTCAACCCAGCCCATATCCCCAAGGACATCCAAAACTCCGGTAGTGCATAGGAAAAAAGGAAACGATACGTCGGTCGCAGGTGCCGAAGCCAGGCTCAGGTAACTGTGCAGAGCAGTTCGGCCTCGAGGATGAATTTGCCCTCTTTATACTTTTCGCTCGCTTCATATGCCTTGTCGTATTTCCACCCAACTGTCTCCTTGCACTGCCTACATTGGATGTCGCGTACAATGTGACGTCCTGTAGTCATATTACGTTCGTTGGGATCTGATTCGGTGACGTTGACGACGCTGTCGAAGAGGTAGGCTTTGCCGTGCTGGCCACGAAAGTTCTGTGGACTGTTAGTACGGGGGCCTGCTGTATGGCTGCTTCAAGGCTAGCTGACTCTGCTGAGGATGTCGTCGTGGTTAGAGAGGTGGGTCTTGCAGTTCTTGCAGCCGTAGACGCGCGACGAGTTGAGGTAGATGTTGTATGTGAGCCCCATGGCGGATGATCCTGGGCTTGGTATGGGCGCAGAGGAGTAGTCAAGATGGCAAGGCTGGAGAGGTGTTTGGGGAAGAGTAGACGGTAGGCTGTAGGAGCCACTTGGCCGTCAAACACTGGCTATCCGCACGTCCTGTCCTCTCGGCTTACACCTGATCTCGAGAGGCGAGACGAATTAGATGAGCTCAAGGCGACGATTGTATGGAGAGTCAAGAGTCGTTACACACGTTGTCACGCAGCACGGTGGGGCCTATGGCTATCGAGGGGGAGGGGGAAGGGGAAGGGGAGAGTGTGTTGCAGGAAAGCGACGGCGGGTGTGGTGGAGGGATGCCTGGGCACGTGCAGCTGGGTCTGGGTCAAGCGGGATGACGAAAGCGAGGGGCGGATCGGGTGCGACTGATACCAGCCAGGTGGTTCAGCTATATTCGATAGCTGCACACAGTAGAACCGTGTTAAGAGGAGGTACATGCCGACTGTACACTGTTACCTGTATGCAAACATTGCTATCCAAGGACGCAGAAGTAGAGGCAGCAGGCATCCCATCCAACATTCGACGAGCAAAGGCCTGCTAGTCTGGACCACCTCCTGTACTCTAGCCTTGCGCATATCCTTATTCGGCTGCTCAGTGGCTAGCAACCATGGTCTTTCCATTGCTAGACTGGGCACGTTGGACCAGACATGGAGACATGGAGACATGGAGACACGGAGACACGGAAATCACAATGGCGCTCTCCGGCTGTGAGTCGTGTCGGACCACACGACCAACACACGGCTTTGGCATGGCGTCAACGGCAAACCACCCATGTTTTACATTGGCCACATAAAGACGCAGGCTGGAAACGGTGAGCACAGCTCATCTCGGTGCAGTGAGAGGATGGACAGCGAGACCGAGGGCTGAGGTGACGAGCTCACGGAGCGTGCATGTTGTTGCTGTTGGCAACGCGCGCTGATGTTCGCTTGTCCCAACCTCGCGCATTGTCGGTTGGGTGCGGTCACCCAGTGGGGAGATGGTTTTGCCTATGGATTTTTGGCCAATTCGACCGAGGCGCCAGAGTGGTAGTCAGCGCGTGATGGTGGACAGTGCCATATGACGCGTGGGGGAGGATGGGTACAGTATGTCCATCCATTGGCGTCTACAGCACACGGTAAAGGCATCAGGAAGACAAAAGCAGGCCAGCTCCATCACATCACAGCCAGTGAATACTTTGGCGTACGTGGGGCCACGAGGTTGCAGCAGCAGCAATAACAACAACAATAACAACAACAATAGCCACAACACCAGCAGCAGCGGGTCAAGGCTGGCTTGTTTTTGATGTGGACTCTTGGTATGGATGATGGTAATTTCAAGGGAGAGTGATGGATGGACGATGTGGCCCTTGACCAACCCACCCACCCCTCTTTGGCTCTCCTCTCCCCCCCTCCCCCTTCCGCGCCCGCGCCCCCCAGCCTTCGCATGCACGTCCGTTGGGAGGGAGATGGGGGGAGGGGAGGCTTTGCGCGCGCGGGTGTGGCAGCTCGCCGTCTGCCCTTTAGCGGGCTTATCCTCGTCTCGCGCCCATGGAACGTTCTAGCAACCCTTTTTAGGAGCAAATCCCAGCGTACCCTTTTTTTTTTTTTTTACACATCGGTTCCCGGAATTCCATCAAAGAAATCGCTGCAGCCAGCACTAATTTCTCTAGTTACACCAGCCAGGCAGCCATCCTCCTCTCTTCCCGAAGCTTCGCTCCCATGGTTCTTCCCTCCCTCTTCTCCAAATCCTCGTCCAAGAAGTCGAAATCCTACGACCATCCGGTGCTCGTTGCCCGCCCGTCGTCCAACAGTTCGCCCAGCACAGCCGGCACGCCAGGCACGCCAGGCACCCCTCTCCCCTCTCCCGACAAAAAGAGCCACTCCCGCGTCAAGGACCGGGAACGCCCTTCTGGCAGCAGCCGGCGCTCCAACAGCAACGCGCACTCTTCCCGCCGCTCGTCCAAGTACGACGACCGCGATTCCCACCCGCTCAACTTGCCGCCCGAGGAACGGCAGCGCCTGTCGTTCACGGCCATTGCCAACATGAGCGACCAGGCCACGCCTCAACCCATGGACGTGGACAGTCGCGAGCACTCGCCTGCATCTGTGCCCTCGAGCCCTGTGGCTGCTGCTGCTACTACTAATACTACTACTCCTGCTGCTGCTACCGCCCCAGAGGCCCCCAAGCCTAATGGCCAGCCCGCTGACCGTCCAGCACCTCCCCCTCACCGCTACACGAAGAGCCCCCCGCCGCAATCGGCCACGTACGCAGCCACGCCTGAGGCCGCAACACCCCCAGCAGAGCCACCGACCATCGATGCCGAGGAATACAAGGCGGCGGGCAACAAATTCTTCAAGATCAAAGACTACCCCGCCGCCATCAAGGAGTACTCGAAAGGTGCGTCGTCACAGCCACACGGCAGTCCCTTGCCCACACGTGCGGTAGTGCTACGAGCGAGCAGCCGCCGCCTTGCACCACCGCACACCACACCACCATGACTCCTGGGCTAATCAGTGCACAGCTATCGAGGCCGACCCTCACAATGCCACGTACTACTCGAACCGCGCTGCCGCCTACATCTCGGCCAACAAATTCGTCGAGGCCATGGAGGACTGCAAAATGGCCGACGAGCTAGATCCGGGCAATATGAAGATTCTGCTGCGACTGGGCAGGGTGCTGACTAGCCTTGGACGGCCCGACGAGGCGGTCGAGGTCTTCAACCAGATCAACGCCACAGCCAAGGACAAACAGCCTGCGCTTAATATGCAAAAGCACCTGCGCATGGCTGAGGAGACGTTCCAGAAAGACGGCGCAGGGTCCATGATCATATATGCACTCAACGAGGCTGAAAAGGGCCTGGGTGCGGGCGTGGATAAGCCACGAAAATGGCAGCTCATGCGTGGAGAGGCGCACCTACGGATGGGTAACCCCAACGCTCTTGGTGAGGCTCAGAACGTAGCCATGGGACTCCTACGGTACAACAACCAAGATCCAGACGCGCTTGTCCTCCGCGGCCGCATCTTGTACGCACAGGGAGAGAATGACAAAGCGATTCAGCACTTTAGGCAGGCGTTAAGCTGCGATCCCGACTTCAAGGATGCTGTACGAAACCTGCGAATGGTGCAGAAGCTGGAACGTATGAAGCAGGAGGGCAACGCTGCTTTCAAGGCCGGTAGATACCAGGAGGCCATTGACACATACTCGCAAGCCCTGGACGTCGACCCCTCGAACCGAAACACAAATTCGAAAATTTTGCAAAACCGCGCACTCTGCCACACCCGACAAAAGAGCTGGAAGGCCGCAATCGCAGACTGCGACAGGGCCCTCGAACTCGATCCAAACTACACCAAAGCCCGCAAAACTAGGGCAAAGGCCCTGGGCGAGTCTGGAAACTGGGAAGAGGCAGTCCGCGATCTCAAGGCAATTCAAGAAGCCAACCCATCCGAGCCGGGCATCGCAAAGGAAATCCGCGAAGCCGAAATGGAACTCAAGAAGAGCAAACGCAAAGACTACTACAAGATTCTCGGTCTCAGCAAAGATGCCACCGAGACTGAAATCAAGAAAGCATATCGCAAACTTGCCATTGTCCATCATCCCGACAAGAACCCAGACGACGCCGATGCCGTCGACCGTTTCAAGGAGATCCAGGAAGCACACGAAACCCTCAGCGACCCACAGAAGCGCGAGCGATATGACTCTGGTGCTGATCTGGTTGACCCGTCCGACATGTTCGGTGGTGGCGGCGGCGGCTTCCATGGTGGCGGTATGGGCGGCGGCATCGACCCAGAAATTCGTAAGTTGTCTTTGATTGATACTTTGCTGAATCCAGCTAACTCCGTCCACAGTGATGCAAATGTTCGGTGGCATGGGAGGTGGCGGCGGTATGGGCGGCGGCCGTGGTGGAGGAGGTTTCCATTTCCAGTCCGGGGGCAGCCCCTTTGGCGGCATGGGTGGCATGCCTGGCGGTAGTCGACGAAGCCAAGGTCCACCCGGAGGCTTCCCCTTCTAAACCTCGGGCGCCCCCGACCGAAAGAACTTTAAGAAACCCTTTATTACGTGTCTATACTTTTCAGTTATGACTCCTTAGGCGGCTTTTCCTCAAACACATCATGGCGTTGGGTACATATGGAGGGAGCGCGAGCTTGTTGATTCTGTAGACCTTCTGCTCTCGACTTGGCTGCCATCATTCATCATCACCCTGTATTTTTTGTACAGTTGCGAACGGCATTGGCATTGGCATTGCTCTGGCGTCGTCACACCATCTTTATCGATTGCGAAAAAGTAGAGCGGACTGCTCGAGAGAGTCTGTCCAGAGTGCGACAAATGTTATATATTGGTCCTTTTTCAAATCTTGCATAATGTGCTATTGATGCGATGAAGGAGGAGAAAGTCTTGGGACTTGTTGATTGCAAGGGCTGAAAGTACTAATTGATGCAGACATTGATGTGAGTTGATCTATCACGGTTGTGATGAATCATGTTGGTATACAAGCACCGATGACATAATCTCCGAAACTTGGGCAATTCGATTCTTCAACACCAACTCTCCGTCTGTCTTTCTGATCCTCTCCACACAATTTACTTCCCCACCAACCAGCCGCCACATCCACAAAAACATAATCAACCCGAACATAGAATCCCAACAATCCGAGCCCTCGCAAAACTCCGGCTACTTACATTCACTTCGCCGATATAAGAAAGACATTTGACATCGCTGCATTCGCTTTCCAAGGAAGAATCGTGATCTTCTACCAAGGGAGTTGGATTGGGTGGGAGTGCGCAGGAGATGGGGAAGAGCAAGTCAATAATTATATATTGAGTTGATGCGTGCGATCTTTGATAGGCGACCTGGTCCTGTTTTCCATACCTGCATACAATGAACACGCCAACGCAAGAAAGAGGACGCGGACGCGGACGAGGAGGGGAACGAGGACGAGGAACCGCACAGGGACGCAAGTGAGACCGGTGAAACCGATCGCGTGTGTACCACTACGCAC